CAGTCGTTGGCAATCGGCGTATGAGTGAGGTCATGTAGTGCGCTCTCGTCGGATTCCACTAAGCTGGAAAATTACTGAACAACATGAGCAGTGATATTACATCAAATTTTGCCAAAAACCTTGGCGATACCCAAGCGTAAACCATTCGAAAGATTCAGCGGGCTTTCGGGGACGATCCTCGAGGCCAAAAAAAGCGCGGCAGGTGCGCAGCAATATCAAAGGTCATGTTGACAGTTTTTTCGACTCTCGTGGGGTGGTGTGTCGTGAGTACGCACCACAAGGCCAAACCATCGCAAAGGAGTACTACCAGGAGGTCCTTCGTCGTCCTTCCGATACAGTGCGACGCAAACGACCGGATCTGTGGTCGATCAAAACTTGGCAGCTCCATCGTGATAACGCATCCGCCCATTCTGCGCATCTGATTCGGTCTTTCATCACCAAACACAATACTCCTGTGGTTCGTCACGCTCCGTACTCTCCCTGCATGGCTCCGTGTGACTTTTGGCTATTTCCCAAACTGAAAATGCCACTAAAAAGAACCCAAATTTAGTCGAGAGAAGACATTGCGCGAATCCGACGGACCGGCTGATGGCCATTCCAAAAGATGCATTCCAGCAGTGTTTCCAGCAATGGCAAGAACGCTGGAAGAAGTGTATACATTACCAAGGAGATTACTTTGAAGGGGATTAGGGTTTCGTACCTCAAAATCAATAAATTTATTTTTGCCGACCAAAGGTCCGATACTTTTTGAACAGACCTCGTAGACTAATAAGTTACATTTAAAAATGTATATAGATGTAAACTACTACTATATTTATTACTTTAAAAATACTTGGTATTAAAAAAAAAAAAAAACACAAATATGTAGCTCTTTGAGCTTTATTGGGTGAAAGATTTTCCTCCCTTTAAATTTCTTATGTAATTTTTGTTTGTTTCATTTTTTTAAATTAAATTTTTAAGAACAAAATTTTTATTTAAAGTTGTTCAGTATTCAATGTATTTGAATACTGAATTGTTCAAGTTGGGAGTAGTTTGAGTACTGAGGTATTACTGTATTGTAAAAAGAGAAGACACTGAGGTCGGCGTTATATGTGCATTTTTTAATCGCAAGTACTTTCGACAAACATATAGTCATCGTCATCAGGTGGATACGAAGATTTACCAAAAAATTTTTAAACGGAAATAATCCGATGTAGAATAGAATGCTTAAATTTAAGTTTAAACTTTTGTCTAAGCCGTTAAGAACACGATAGAAATATTCAAAAATGTTTGAAAAACGAACGAGCAGAAAGCTCCATGATGTGTGAATAAGAACATGTGCAGATCTAGACACACACTATACGCATTCTGGAGAATGCTAATATTTGCTTAATTGCTTGTATAGTGTGACCCATACACTGGGCAGCTCGAGAGTTGGAGTGTTGCACGTGTCCAAGGTGGTAGTAAGGAGAGATTTTTTATTTCTTCACCAATGTTTTAAGAACAATATTATCTTTACATGCAATATTAAACGTTTGTACATGTATCTATTTTAAGTCGCATGAAAAGTTTGAACTTTTGCTGGAATCTCAAAAAATGTTTTGAAAATGTTGTTATATTCCTTCACATTTAAAAATGTCTAATGTTCTGTTGAATGTTCTTAGGTATGTATCTATATGATGAGATGAATTAAGCTTAAAAAGAAATTTAATACATTAAATAAAAAAGACCTCTGTAATCAATTAGCATTTTTACATATGTATAAAGGTATGAGGTTGAAGATTGATAAAAAAAAGAAGGAATAAGGGAAAATGATTTGTTTTGTCAGCAGATCTGAAAACACAGAAATTGTTGAAATGTTATAATTACCATCAAAATCATCAAACAAACTATTTTTTAACTACATGTGTATTTACCATATTTTGAAGTTTTTTCCTTGTTATTAGCTGTTTGCATGAATAGCTTTGCCTACTTATAAAGGTCCCAAGATTTACATGATAAATAGCATTTTGTTATTAGTAAATAGTAATTTCTGATCTTCTGTTGTGAGAGGAGCTTTGAAACTGTTCAGAAACCTTCCCCATTGACCAGAACCACTAGTGACTACCTAATTATGGCCAAAGATGTCTCATCAAGAAAGACTGAATAAAAAAACCATCAAGGAGACTACTGGCATCATCATCATCATCCTGTTGACAGATATTTGGCAAAGTGCTGATAAAATTCCCATTCTGTTTTGACTGTAGATGAGCAGGATAAACATTACTGCTAAAACTGACCCAAAGAGTATCAGACCTCTTGCTGATAATTTTAGTCTTAGTCCAATGAACTGTTGACTACCTACACATTGCTGTCAGTTATCATCAAACTTTCCATAGGGACTTGTTGATCATTGCCTGTTACCAAAAAACTAGCGTGGGCACTTTTAGGAAGTAGGGTTTTCTATCATCATGTCAAAATCCTTCTATAACTGCCTCTGAATCTGTATATCATGGATTCATTTCTGTCACCATCTATGTGTTTGACGGTGAGAACATTCTGTTACCTCCAGCATCAGATATGTCAGAAGACTATTCTACATATTCTTAATACACTTAACTTGAAGAAATCACACAATATGTGGCTTAAGTGCACACATTGATCAAAACTGATGGCACAACAATCATTATCATACTTGCAATTTCCAGATATTGAGTTGACTCAGTGACTTAGTATGGATTTACATGACCATTTGCAGACCAGGATATTCTGAAAAGCTCACTGCATGTCACTATTTCAGCCCCTATAAAGTTCTTCATAAGTGTATACCAATGTCACTCATGAAGTTTATGCTATCATTCCTACTGGAAGATATTGGATCCATCAGCAGATAATGAATATCATCCAATATGAATCCAGATGAAGTCCCTACTGTATACCACTTAAGTGGACTTTAATGTCTCAAGATGGACAAGAGATGACATCTTGAGAAACGGGAAATTCTATTATGTGAACTTTTTATACATTGAGCCATTCAGTTTTTAAATGTTACCAGTTTTCATTCAAATTACTATCATCACTAATTTGAATAAAAATTAAACGCAGATACTAAGATTATTCTGTTCTTTGGTTGGAATGTTTTAAGAGTTTTTATTTGTTAAGTTAAATTTGTTATAAATATTGATCAAATTTACATTAATTATTCTGCTAATTTTTCTTAATTTGTTTAATAAACTTTGTTGTTATTGTGTGAAGATCATTTCTTATTCTTTGCACTGTGCAAATATTGAATTAAAAAATATAAAAAAAATATCAGCATGAACTGTGTACGATTAGCCCCACTGAAGAGGTCTTTCATAGGTGAAATGCATTTGGGGAGCTTGTTAATAATGTAAATACTGTAAAAAGTATTTTTCTCTGCAAACTGATTTCTTTTTATACCTTTTTAGCTTTAAACCAATAATGATTTTAAAAAATTAATGTTTTAAAAATTTATTGAAGTTATATAATATCCAAAAGTCAGAAGTGAAAGAAAAATATAATTTTTTTGTATACTTTACATTTATGTAAGAAGAAAGGGGGAAAAACTTTGTTTTTCTTTTCTATCGTTTCAACATATCAGTGGCAGTCTGAAACCTTATGGACTGTCACTAGTGTGCTGAAATGACGGAAAAGAAAAACAAAGTTTTTGTGTATTCGTGATATTTTTATATGTTTTAAAATATTAAATTAATTTAATTCCAGTAAATATATATTGAACAAAATTATTGAAATGTATTCAAATAAGAATTTGATTTTAAAATATAGCTATCTACAAGTATAAGTATTTCATCTCAATAATATAATTTAATTATATTAATATTAAGTTGTTATAAAAATCTATAATTACATTAAAATTTGTGAGATGAACCATTTAATTCTATTGATTTTTATTAATTGTATTTATTGATGGAAAGTTATAAAATTTAGTGTTCTAGTTTGAGTTTATGAGCAAGTTTTTTCATAATAATCAATTTAAAATTATAATTAGATAAGCTTGAATTAAAATTCTCTAATAAATCTTTATCATATATTTATTTAGGGATACATCTGGTCAAGGAAGATTTTCTACAATTATTAGATCATATTCACGAGGTGCTCAAGTAAGCATAGTTTTTATTGCATATGTAAAAACAATAATAAAAAATGGTCTATCTTTCAAGATAAAATAATGTCTTAACTGTCTTGGCCATTCAGACAGCAAGGAAACTACAAATTAATAGGATTGGGAGATTTGTAAATTGAAAATTTGTAGTTTTATCATATAGTTTATATTTTTAATTGTAATTCCATTATTTTGTTATTAAAGCAATGTTAGTTTGTAATTTTAAAATTAATAACAAACCATTTCTATTTAAACCTTTACAAGTTTAAAAATAACTTATTTGTTTAAATTTCCTCCTATCCAGTTCCTGGATTCAATTCAGCAGATAGAGTTAAAGCTACTTGATATAGAATTCTGACCTAATGACAATGAAAAAAATGAGCATTAATTTTTTGTTTAAACCATCATATCTCAATAAAGTATGTTTGGAGTAACACACATTTATTTTTTAAACATACCCAAACTAGATAAAACAGCAAAATAACTGGGAGAAAATTTTGCTTTTCCCATTTGATGATATTACTATTGATTTTTCATAAAGTTTGTATTATGCAAAGTTCCAATTGTATTAACTAGATTCAACACTGTATTAAAGGGATTTAACTGTATTTAAAACTTGGTAAAAATCACTCAGTTTCAAAAGAAATATCAAAATGCTATCATCATAGAATTAATGCTATAACAGTAGATTACTTCATAAAATTGATATCTTTCACACTTTTCCAGTGAGAGATTTATTTAAGATATAAATGTACTTGGAATTCTGGAGCAGGTTTATGAAATAAACCAAAAACATTTGTGCAATTTATATCCTAAATAAACCTCTTGCTGGAAATGTTGAAAGATACTGATTTGATGTTATTTGTTCCAGCTTTGTTGTATTTGAGTGTGATTGCTTTTTAATTTCTTTGTTGGCATTTCTCAACAGATTTTGTAGATTTCTCTTATATCATTATTATAATTTATATCCAATAATTTAATTTTTGATTAAAAATAATTAAAATTATTAATTATCATATTTGCTTGTTTGAATTCTGAATAACATTTATTAAAATATATAATTTAAATTTTCAGGGAATAATTTTAGTTTATGATATTACAAACAAATGGTCATTTGATGGAATTGATAGGTGGCTTCAAGAAGTTGAAGAAGTAAGAAATTAATTTTTTTTGTATCAGATTTTACATTTTATTTATTACGTGCAAAAGCAAAGTTATTATTTACAATAAATATTTAATTTTGTACATTGATTACCATAAAGTATTTGGACATCTCTCTGAAACTACAGATTGGCCATATCCGGACTGAACAATGTATGCTGGTGTTATAAATGTGGCAGAAATTGCTGTGTTCAGCATGATAAAACAATGTTCTTGCATAGCATTGTAGCATTTTAAGTAAAATTATGTTAGTGTTGAAAGTTAATCTGTGATATCACAAGGACACTACAGAATCCTAAGATAACTTGGTGTGACGTGCCAATATTTCTAGATTGGGACAACCAACCAAACAGCAACCCAGGGACTGTATGATGCTGCAGTATGAACTGTGGATAAATTGCACCCATCTATTGAGTTCCAAATGACCACAGGAGTGTTGGTCAGTCTAAAACACAGCCTAGGTCATGCCTAAAGTTTGTGCTCTACCATGATAATAGCATGGTTTGATTTTATAATTGCTTGTCTACAATGGGCAAAGGATCTATGCAATTGGACTGTAGACCAATAGAAATAGTTCTGTGGAATGATGATTGTAGGTTCACCTTTTCTAATTAGATGGATGTGTGGATATGGCATTTACCCAGAGAACAGTTATCAGAATGCACAGTGGTTATAGTATGGGGCTGATTTGTTGGTTTGTCATCGGTCCTTTAGTTATAATAGATGGAAACCTGAACTCTATCCAAAACTGTACAGCTCAATCATGTGCTGCCATATTCTGGTAGTTCTATGGTAATAAGGATGCATACTTCCTAAGCAGTAACATATGCTGTCAAATTTCAGCTTCTATGCTTGCCTGGTATAATGACTACAATGTTGCACTTACCTGCCCAGAGCCTTGATCTCAATCCAATAGAACATCTTTTGGATGAATTGGAGTGGCAGATCAGGACCAAGACAACAGGCTGACATTCATAATTCAGCTAGTTCAGGTTCTACAAGTGGAATTTACAGCTATATTTCAGCACCTGTTTGGTGGAAAATGCTCCCTGGAAGATCCAAGAAACATTATCATCAAAAGGAGGGATGACTAAGTATTGAGGTTAGCACTGGCGGTTATTGAAGTTGGTGACTGAGGTTCCAAATACTTTATGATAGTCAGTGTAAAATTGATTTGATTTGAATGGGTAACTAAATCTGTGCAATTTTTATTATTAGCATGCACCTGGAATTCCAAAAATCTTAATTGGAAATAGACTCCATCTTGCATTTAAGAGACAAGTTGGTGAGACGGTTGCAGAAATTTATGCTCGGAAAAACAATATGGTATTTCTAGAAGTCAGTCCACTCTGTAATTATAACATCACAGAATCATTTGTCGAATTGTCACGCATGGCCTTATTAAGAAATGGCATGGAGAGGGTGTGGAGGAGCAACAGAGGTATAATATTAACATTTAAAACATTTAAACAAATTATATACAAATAAAATATAAAAATTCATTAATTATTTACAGTATTATCCTTACATGAGCTGTGTTGTCGAGCAATAGTAGCCAGGACAACGGTGTACAGTATAGAACAGCTTCCATTGCCACTGGCATTAAAGTCATGTCTCAAGTCCTATTCAATGACTACATACAAACCAAGACCTCATATAATGAATACAAGAGATAAATCTCTAAAAAAGTCCAATCCTTTACATCCTTGTGATTCATTAACATTGCAGTGCCGTAAAAGTTGTACAATATCCTAGCATAAAAATGCATGGCCGGGGTCATCACTTGGAATGGCAGTCAGATAATATTGTGCATGAAATTCACACAATTTTTACATAAATGAATAATCTAGCTCTCTTATTATAATTATTTTGACAAAGGAGCATAATTTGAAAGTTGAAAAAATACGTACTTTTGTGTATAGTTTTACTTTACATAAATGTTAATTCATAGTTTTTCATATAATTAGTTTATATATTAAAAAAAAATTATGTTAATTTTTAATATGAAATATGTTATTATTGGTTTATTACAATTTATACAGAATTTGTACATGTTACAAATTACAACATGTAAAATGTTTTTAGATGAAATATAGTCAACATTGTACATAAGAAAAAAATTGTCTCGCCATATAAAATATTTACTTAAATATTTTATTTTGTGAAAATAAAATGCAGAGCTTTGCTCTCCTTAGGGCAAATTCAGAGTAGAATGCTTTTACATGTTTTTTATATTGTGTACAGATAATAAAAATTAATCATTGAAATAATTTTATTTCTCTGATAATTGTGTGGTGGTTTAGTTCATTATAATACACCAGGGGTTGGCAAACTAAGGCACGCTGAATGAATAGAAATGTCGTAAAAATGATATTTTAATTGTTAATTACATATTGAAATGGAAGCCATAGTTCATTGTAGGCCATAGTATTATAAACAAATCTCTTGCTTGTACAGGTAGCCCTCAGTTTACGCCACAGTTCTGTTCCTACAAAAGCTGGCGCAAATCGAATCGGTGTAAAACGAACCCGTACTTACAGTGAGGTATAGGGTTAGGTTCTACATAAGTGAAAAATAAGCTAATAATTTTGTTTATTAGTACAATATAATACAAAATATATAAAATACATTTTAAAAATTTATATCATAAAATAAAGTAAAATGTTTTTATTTAAAAATTTTACTTTCAAATTTCTTAATTTTTTGGAAAAAAGTATCCATCTTTAATTGTTCACATTTTTGATTTCTTTCACTAAGAATTTCAGAATATGGTTGAATATGATGCTCCCAACATTGTCTAACTTCATCCGTCAAACTTTCCTTAGTTGAAAGGATACGTTAACCCTACAGACGAGTGAATACACTGATTGGTTGACCACCGGTCACAGTAGCGCATAAGGTCAGTTTGAGCGGGAAAATTGAAGGTGGCTAAGGAGAGAGAAATATCGTCTCACTAACGATAATTTGTGATCGCCAGAAGTGCTATTGTGTCGTAAGGTGTTTTCCTGAATGAACTGATACAGGATACATTCATTGGCGCTATGGATTCGGACACCATTTATTGGACTATTAAGTTTAATATCTTGATTCGTGGGTACCTAAACGTTTAGTATTTTAATATTAATTCAATGCAAATGTATATACATACCCAATAATATTAAACAGAAAAAATAAATATATTTAATAAAAATCTTTGTTTTAACGAATGTACAATGTCGCGGCTCGGTAAATACGTCAACACTGAAATGAAAATCAGTCTAGCATAGGGAAAATCGGCAAATTGCGCAGTGGCGTTATTGTGAATCGGTGTAAACCGAGGGCTACCTGTATATTTATGCTCTTCATGTTGCTCTACCGTGCAGCCATCTACATGTTGTGCATGTACTTCACACACGCAATTTTGAAGTTAAAAATAATTCAATTATGTGTTCTGAAGTCTGATGATTGTATATATATATATATATTTTACATAATACATAATTGATAGAATCATGTTGGCACTATATAACACTATAACTTAGGTTTGGCACAACACCACTGAAAGATTGTCAACCTGTTATAGACTATCAAAATATAATGTATACCACATTTACAGGATGTTAATGCTCAGTGTGCTGTAAACTTGTGGAAGTAAGGGTCATCAATGAGATAAGCATTTTTATGAAGCAACCTAGTGTCAGAAACAAAAAATTTGGACCCACCTGTGTGGCAACAGTTATTACACTAAATTCATCTTATCCATCTGTTTTGGAATGAGTCTTGGTATAGTTGATATGATTCAGTAAATGAAACTTTATTGATATTTTTCTACATATTTGCAATAGAAGTTCAAAATGGCAATCGCCAACCAACGACAAACCACATCTTGTTGTACTCTCTTTCGAAGAATGACAATCGTTCTTCGAAAGAGTACAAGATGGACATTTCCTTCATTTTATTTTAATTTGGCCTTAATTTATTTTGTAAAAATGCTCATCTCGTTAGCTCTATCACTCTAAATTTACAGCACATTGAATACAATATTAACACCGTGTATATGTTGAATGGGAATAGATTTCTTACTTATTTTAAAGATGTATTTTTTGGACTTAAAAAGCTTCATTCAGATTATTATACGAATAAAAATTAATAGTTTATTATAGAAGATTATTTTTCAAAATTAATGATAATTGGTAAAGAAATTTTTGTACCTAGATACTTAACTTTTTATGGCTTAGATAATGAACAATGACATATCTATTGTACATACAAATATCACTACTAAATGATTTAAATACAACATTTTTTATGAAACAAACATAAATTATCAAATAGTATTATTACAAGTAGCCCTTCATTATATCACGTATATAGGGAGACCAATCAAATGAGAGATACAACTGATGTATGTATTCACTATTGGCTAAGACACTGATATATTTGGAAACAAATGGTGGGTCCAATCAGCAATATAATCAGGAGCTACTGTACTATTATTAGTAAATACATAATTTAATAATATTTACTTGTTATATGGAAATTACACCAAATAATTTTATTGTATTTTTTAGAATTGCAGCTTTAAAAATACTTATAAATTATCCACTAAAGCAATTATTTAGCTGTAACTCACAATATTTGAAAATATCACATTATATCATCGTGCAAAATTTTAATTATATTGATAGATCTTAAAAATATAGAAAAATAACCAAATAAATTTATTGCTACGTCATATTGGAAATATTAACTCCACAAATTTCTTTTGAAGTGTCATCAAAATAAAGCATAAGCATTGAGCCTTCACTCATTTGCATTTATATGCCGTATTTGCGATACTGAATCGTCATTGTCGTTTTCGTAATCTCTAAATGGGTAAGTTGTTTAAGAATACACTTTGTGCTATGGTTTCAATTATTTAACATTTTAATTGGATTTTCTGAAATTATTATTATTGCCATGTGCTTAATGATTTATTCTTGAAGACAACTCTTCCAAATAGTCCTTACCTACGAGGCAAGGACTATTTGGAATTTTCATGGTCGGAAGTGTGAAGTTTTCATCCAAAACTAAACAAAATCCCCTTAAATAATGTAATAAACATAAAATAAATAGAATTTGTCCTCAAAATACTTGGTATGGCTAGTGTTAACACGAGCTTTTCAGGATGTTCTGGTAACACCCGCCCTGTTGTAAGATTCCTCATCAATACAAATGGCAATAGTTTTAAACTAGTTTTGATTTGTTATTTTAACTTGTGATTCTTTTATAAATTTGAATATTTTCTATCTCATCTGGGAACTAAGTAGGTGCCACCTACACTTGACTACATTTGTTCTTGTCTGTCAAATTCATTATCAAATAATGCATCCGATATGCATTAAACACAGCATCGATGAATAGTGATGCACTAAAATCTTTTCCAATATTCGCCTATTGCTTCATCAGTGCAGTGACATGTTCTGACGAATTAATATAGCTGCCTCCAAAGTTATATTTGGCGGCTTTAAAAATAATCATAAAAATTGAATAATATGATTAGCATGTAATAGTCTTTAATCCCATACGTTGCCATTAAATATTAGATAAGTTAATATTTCAAAATTAACGAGAATATAAATATTTTAAAATTAATCGACGAATCTGTCATCTTCCTCTTAAAATGAATTTCATTCTTCATAATCCATGCTTTCTAAGTACTCTCTGACTCGCATTTCTTCCATTTGCATTTTCATTTCTCTATAATTTCCTTCAATGGGTCTCTCGAGATCTGCATTACTCACTACAAAATCTTGAGCGCTTATGTAATTACTAGAGCCTGATAAAGCCAGACACAATGACCAATATCAATTACATTGTTGCTTCAGTTATTTGGTGACAAACAGATTTTTTTTGGTATATGATCTTGCAATACGATGCCATTTTCTTCTTTTAATCTATCAATGAGATGTTTTAGTTCTAGAATAAATGGCATTGATTTTTATAAGTAAACTGGAAATCTTCATTTCATTGTTGCTCATTAATTCATCAAAATTTGTGTAATATTCAGTGAATGTCAGATACTCCTGTGTTAACATGTCTTTTATCTGTAAGCTAATTTCTATATTCTTTTGTATCACTTGTTTTAGACCTTGTAATGAAGTATGGAATAAGTGAAAATCCAGTTGATTTCTTCTTCGATGATGATAACATCCCAGTAAATAAAGGAATATCAATAGAAGGTTCACCGAATCAAAATCAAACATTCTATAATATTTTGTAAAGTTGTATTTGTCTGTCGTCATCTTCCACTATGTGCCACTTATAACAGTAGAAACCAGTGATTATAGAAATGAGGAGACAAACTGTCAAGATTTCAAAAATTAATACCCACAGTTTCATGATTAAACACAATTAACAATGCAGAAATAATATTTTTGTTTAATTACGTAATTTGAAACAATTTTACTTAATAATAAAAGTGAACAAATTCAAATTTACAAATTTTTTTAAGTCAAAATATAATAATATGGAGTAATTCATGCATCACGTATCCTGTTTTTGCACTGAACAATAGTAAAAAATAAACAACTTTTGATATTGCTTACAATAAGATGTAATTACGAATATGCATGCATTCTAACATTTTTCGAACATGTCGGAGCTTGTTCGACGTGTGGTAAATTTATATTCGGCTTGATTACTGTGTGATTGATGGCTGTGCACACAATGTCAACATGTATAGGTAAAATTTATGAACAGCAAATCAACTTTAAATTTTTTGCATGTTTACTCATTGTCATAAGTTTCTGGCAGATTAAATTTTATATCACATACACAAGCATATGAATGGTATAATCGTTTTAAAAAAGGCAGTGAATCTATAGACGACATTGCCCATCCAAGTTTTGGCAAGAAATGAAGTGCTCTACTGTACATTCCAATCTTCATGCCAACTTGGAAATGCATCATGTCTGTTCTGGCATTGTTCTGAGGATGTCGACAGATGATCAATATAAAGGACGAGCACTCATTAGCTGAGAAATAATTGACATGAAATTTACTGGTGATAAAATGTGCTGTTTCTTTTATGACCCAAGGGCAAATGCTCCTGATCAAATTAGCCTGTTCAAGACAAAAATTTCTATTCAAATCCAACATAAATACAATGCTTGTGACTATTTGTGAAAAGCCTGGTGCTTCACAAGTTTACACAACACTTCCTAAAGAGAAAGCCAGTGCAGTAAAATGTGATATCACAACTTATCCCGAAGGTTGTATCGATAACTTTTTCGTCCTAATCTTCTTAAGAGAGTTAATCGAAGTTTCTTTACTTTTTAAAAAAATTGTGCCACTAAAGATTATCATTTAGACAAGTATTAGGTTTTAAAATTTTATTTTTCAATCCAAATAGTTATTATATGGAGTTTTTTTGTAACTATATCTGAATAAAACAAATTACAAGTCAATGGTATAGTTTAAGATTATGAAATTCAAATATTACAGTAATTTGTAATAAAGATGTAATTATTCAATTTATGTAGTTTATAACTTTTTAAGTGTTTGAAGCTTATGCTTCTTTGTGATGCTTTTCGCAACATAAC